CCTTCACGACGCAACGAGTGTGAAAAAGAACGACCTCGCCGATGCCTTCCTCCTCCATCAATATGTTCTTGCTCAACGCCTTGATGGTCGGCTCCCCAGACGACATTGCCAATTGATCGCCGTGACCAACCTTAGCTCTGAATACCACTTGATGAGGCACGGACTACCAAGATGCTAATTCGTGCGTGTAGATGGCCCGATCTTTCACGACGATACTCGGTCAACACCTCGTCTCCCTGTTCCTCCTCGTAACCTCCAAGAACAATTTTCACCTGTGTACAAAAATACACAAACGAAAATAATGACCCCCTCGGATCAGCACGTAGGCGTCGATGTGATGATCAACCCTCCGTTGCTAGTAAATTTTCACGATGGAAAAATCACAGATAATACACAAGATATGGTCGCCCGTAACTCGGACGTTTTTCTGTATATCTCATACCCGGAATAAAACTCAAAACTCCCCTCCTTCACATCGGCCGAAGCCAGCCTTTATATGGCTCACGCTGCAACCAGCTCGGCCTATCTCTAAGGAAGAAAAAATACAAACGTGATCTGGTATATAACTAACCTCAAGTGCACTACCTAACAAAATATATCTACTCCTACCTGCTAGCTTAAAAAGGTAACAACCACGTGAAGGAAGGAAATGGCGTGATTAAATCCATGCAGACCTAAACGTGTAGCACTATGGTGCCAATCCTAATCCATCCAGGAGGTGTACGAAAATTAGGATGCACCTTGGCACGTACGGGTTCCTCCATAACCTCAGGTTTCTTGCCGTGATGAGCATATACTTCTTGGAAAGGATCTAACTTATTTTTATTTATCAAACCAAATTAACATATTGGCTTTATGTATGGGCGTGGCTCACAAGGCTTCTGCTGATTATTTTTCTCTCTATAAATCAATCCTGATTCTCTCATATTGCCTTGTGCAGGTGCACGTACAAGACTCGTAACACATCCATGCATCAATTTATAGTCCAAATAACCAGCTTGATGTGCGCCCATCTTCGCAGCACCAATACCTGGTCCGCATATCATACGTTTCTTGCCATCTTTGCCAGTGTGCAATATATTTGGACAATTCATAATTTTACCAGCATCCTTGATTAGACTCTCCTCGCTCGACTCAGTTGGTTCGAGTTTAGTAGCATCCGCACTGGATAATATTCTAGACGTTGTAGTGTTCATATCAATTTTTTGTTGAAAAGCTAGAAAATACCGTGAAAACCGAAAAGTCAAAATAACGGGAAAAAATCATCTAAAAAGCCGAAAACGTGTACGGGGAAATAAAATAATTCGGAGAGAGCACCTAGAAAGCGACATGTGGCGGCGGCTAAGAGCGCGCCAAGTGAAACGCTCTCAGCTCACCCCAAGTGATCGTTGGGAGGCTCCCGAAGAAGCACTAGCCAACTTGTTGCTCTCGACGAATAGGATTTTCCATAAATCTCGCCATTCCCTGCAGTAGATGATAACCAAATGAACCAGCCAAATATGGGTTCCCTTTGTGAGCGGTTTTAGGAGGCTTCTATGACTGGTTCGCATATAAGCTTCTGTGTGGGTTTATTTGATTTTGTTTTTGTCGGTTTATCTTTTGGTTTTTGGTTTTCTGGGTCCCCTTATTGGTTGTATTCACGTGTTTATTATTATTTGCGATTTTCCTTTTTATTTTTCTTTCTTTTTTGCAGTATATGTCTACATTTTTCAAGACACACTCTACATTTTTGTATACATTTGGAACAGTTGTTTGATACATGTTGAAACATTCTTTTAAATACATGATGAATTTTTTTCTAAAATAATATTTTGAATATTTTTTAATGCGTGCTATTTTTTTCCGATACATGTTTTTTAATGATATGAAACATTTAGTTCAAACTACATGAACATATTTTACACTGTATAATATATTTTAATCCCACTTACATATTTTTGAAAACATAAATTTTAATAAAATGTCACATACATTTTTTAATGGTACTAAAAGATTTACTTGAATTACGAGGCCATTTTTTGGCATTGTACAAAGATTATAAAAAAATCACAAACATATTTTTGAAATGTGTGAAAAAATTAAATGCGATGAACATTTTCTAAAGTTTGCGTTAACCTTTTAAAAATGCTCAAAGAGTGATTTTTTAATTTAAATATAATAATTTTGTTTTTCAATAAACAAAAATAAAAAGGAACCAACACTCATCCCATGCTGGGCCGACCCATTGAGGTAGAAGTAGAGGCGAGTGTGTTCGTTGTTCTTGCACGAAGCTCAAGAAAATCAAGAAGAAATCGTGTGACGCCAAACTAGATCGGCGGCCCTTGACTACGCCCAGCGCGTCACAACAAACTATACGAGGCTAATCATCATAGGAGGCCTCAATATTTAGGCCCAACATGCTATGAATTAACCGTTCTAATAATATACTTAGAACAAATAAAATAAAAGGGACGACGCTACACGTCGGTCAACCGAAAACTGGAAAAAATATGTCTGTATTAATGTGGAATATCTTGCCTAATACAGTATTAACTTAAATTGCACATACACAATTATGAGTTATTTCAAGTGTACCAGAGCATTTTACTCATTCTAAAGAACACTGTTGAGTCATTCACATATCCCATGGAAATTTGCTGTGTGTTTTGAGTTGTCTCGTTATGAACCAATTTATGGCTTCCCCACCACAAGTACCAGGCTGATATGGCAGTTATTTCACGCACATTTTGATTGCCCATAATACATAACTCATGATTTGGCATTGCAAGTAAATATTTCAAAAGTGCCTCACCCACATAATCTACTTCAATAATATCATCCATCCCTAGCCTTCTCCACACTTATTTTGCCTTGTTGCATAGAAACAACAAATGCTTTGTGCCTTCTGGTCCAGAGGAGCAGACAAGGCAATTGGGTGGAACTTTCACATGTCCATTGGCTAGTTTAACACGACACAGAAGAGTGTCATGAAGCGTAGGCCAAATAAATATTTTAACCTTTAACGGGCAAGAGGGTTTCCAAATCCTACACTATGTAGGATTAACCGTGGTACGTCTCATCCCATTGGTATGCCGCAACTTGTTTCCGTATTGGTGATCCCATTCCACAAAATAAGCAGACCAAACCGAAAACGTACCATTTTTTGTGAAATTCCTAGCCACGAAATCTGGCATATCATGTTGCGAGATAGGGATCGCGAGTACTCATTGAACATCAATAGGTCATAGGGTCTATGTGAGAAGATCTTCGTCCCAAATATTAAGAACAGGATCAATCAAATCTACTACCTTACATAGCAATTGACATCCCTTACGAGCCAAATCTCTATCAAAACTTAGAGCTAAAGACCCCTGCACAAATGCTATATGTAACAAATTAATTTTTTTATTCCTCAAACGTATGAGAAGCGCTTCTAGATTGGATACGACGCCGAGGGGAGTACAATCACTTCCCCACCTTGTTTGTTCTAGGGTTCCCAACCTTCTTTATTTGTATGTAGTGCTATTTCCCTTGGATTATTTTGTGTGTATTTAGTTGCGCTATCGTTACATAATCGCACACGTGTGTTAACGGAGTCTGACCTTAATAAAGATTTTGGAGAAAGTCCTTTCTAATTGTCTATGTGTATAATACTCTTTTCATATGGTTCGTTTATGATCATCTTTTGCTCAAAACGAAACTGTGGTACATTTTTTTCTTCGTGATAACCTGGTGTGCATCATAACCTGTTGCAGTTTTTTTAAGTGTGCAAGTTGCACCTTAAACTTTACCAACAAAAGACGGTGCAGCTTGAAATGATCCGCCCAGGAAATGGCGGAAAATTTTCAATTTCATTACAAACTGCCCACAAACGCGCTCTCAATGCCTCTTTGTTTCGAAAAATAAACTTGAATCTAGAGGGTGTATCCTTCATATGTTATTTTCATTTATTTTTCTGGCCAGCCGGGGGGTGGGGGTAATATATTCTGGGTTGTTTAATTTGTTAGTTGTTTTTAGAATTCATAAACGCATTTTGATCTTCACAGGGATTATTGTATTGTACTAACAACTTTGCACACCTAGCTTCTTTTTTCTTATATAGCATTGAATTATTGCGGTCTTGTATTGCCTAGTGTTGACTTAATCAAATGGCACTATGACAGTGACCCAACATGACAATCATTCACATATCGGTTAAAGAAGGTTGGCACAAGAATTTCCATGGGAATTGTTTGTGTGTCTTACTTGAGATGACGGCTGGAGTTTGATTGATTCAACTGAATAAAAACAGGGGGGGCTTTGAAATGTTGATCCATTCTGCCAGTGCGCTGGCAAAAGAAAAATACAACTGAAGAAAACTTATCCTGCTCACCAAGCTGCTCTTTAAAATGTGGTCTTTAGCAAAGTCTTCACTTCGTTTCTCTCTACATTTTCTTCTAAAAATCAATGCTCTTGCTACTATATAGTTTATTCTTGTAGGTTTATAGTTTATACTACTACAAATATATTATATTTGAAAGGAAAATGTTTATTTAGCACGGTTCCCAATGTTTCCGATGCTTAATTGACCAGCTTAAAAAACAGAAGAAAAAAAGTGTGACCTTGAGTGAAAAGGACAGGTGAATCAACATCCTGGCCGTCCATCAAATGGGTGGCTGTGATCGTCACCAGCCTAGTTGACTTTGCTAAATTTTATTCTGGTAGTGCTCCACCTCTCACTCTCGGCCTGAATACTATACTCGCGCCAATTACTTCCTGCACAAGTGAAGGTCCCAACGAGACTAACAGTGTCGCATATGCTCTGGTCCATCCCTGTATAAAGTCGCCGCGGGATCCAGCAGAAACCTTTTCCTGCTCCGGCCGCCATTGCCGCGACCTTGCTCACCTTGCGCAAGCTTCTGCATGTGCTTGCATGGTGAAACTCTTCCCCACCTTGTCCATCTCTTGATGTTCATCCCAATCTAGACTAGAGCTCCTTGATTCCATTGCACTACCAAGGTTCTTGGGTTCTTTGTTTGTCCATGGAGGGGGTGGAGGAGGCCAACCGGGCGGCGGTCGTGAGCTGCAAGAGGCTGGTCGCGCGCCTCTCGCTGTCTGCCGGCGACCCGTTCCGGCTCGCCGCCGTCGCGGCCGAGACCGAGGAGGCCGTGTCCCGGTTCAGCAAGGTGGTTAACATCCTCGGCAATAGGGTTGGCCATGCGAGGGCGAGGGTCGGCCGGAGGAGCTCGCCGGCGGGCGACCCGATTGCGAGGTGCCTCCTCGAGTACCACCCTCCCCCGCCGGTGCCGTACTGCCCACCTGCCAGTGCCCCCCAACTCCATGGGAGTAGCAGTAGCACTCCTGCGCCGCCGACGCCGCTGAAGCAGATGGCGGTGCCGGTGGCGGCAGCGGCGGCTCCTTGTGCCGCCGGCAACGGCAAGGTCGTTGCACCGGCGGCCAAGGGTGCTGCGGACAGGGACATGTTCTTCCAGACGCCGCTCCTGGATTTGAGTGCGTGCAGCAGCGTTACTCCCGCCTCCATTGCCACCGGGCAGATCAACGGCTCGAGAGTTTCCGCAGCTCCAGCGGCCAAGGCTACAGACAGGGACATGTTCTTCCAGACGCCGCTCCTAGATTTGAGTGGGTGCAGCGTTACTCCCGCCTCCATGCCGCCGTGCAGATCAACGGCTCGAGAGTTTCCGCAGGTCCGGCGGCCAATCCTCCTACTCCCCCTCCACCTCCTCCTCAAATCCATTTCCACCATCAGATTCCGCAGCAGCAGCAGCAGCAGCCGGCGCCGCCGCAGAAGAGGATGCTCGAGCAGCAGCAGAGGCCGGCCAGCAGCGACAACAAGAGGTTCCACTTCGAGCCGAAGCCGGCGAGCGAGAAGCCGTTCCACATCGAGATCCCGGCGGCAAGGAGCGGCAAGGAGCCGGAGGTGATCACCTTCAGCTTCGACAACTCGGTGTGCACCTCGTCGGCGGCCACCTCCTTCTTCACCAACATGAGCAGCCAGCTGATCAGCATGTCGGAGACCTCCGCCTGCGCGCCGGCGTCCAGGAAGGCGGCGCACAAAGCCGACGACGACGGCAAATGCCACTGCCCGAAGAAAAAGTCGGTGCCGGTCGCATACGCCATTGATTTATTGCACTCTGCCGATTGCGTGCGCCTTTACTTACTTACAGTCGTGTGATTGGTTTGGTTGCAGGAAGCCGAGGGAGAAGAGGGTGGTGAGGATGCCGGCGGTGAGCGACAAGGTGGCCGATATACCTTCGGACAGCTACTCGTGGAGGAAGTACGGGCAGAAACCCATCAAAGGCTCTCCACACCCAAGGTACTCCAATGGCCAATCTTGGTTAATTACTCTATCTCTGTCTCTCTCATGTTCATTATCAAGTATTATCCTTGAATCGAATGAAACAAACTTATTACTAGAAATGTCAGTAAGAATTTGTGGACATGCACCATAGCCGTGTCGCATTCATTGGGCGTGCAAGCATGCATTTGGTGCTGAGTGAGACATTACAATAGGATTCAGGCGGGTATGAAGTATGAACTTGTTGTTGATTAATTGCAGGGGATACTACCGGTGCAGCAGCATCAAGGACTGCCCGGCGAGGAAGCACGTGGAGCGGTGTCGCGGCGACGCCGGGATGCTCATCGTCACCTACGAGAACGACCACAACCACGCGCAGCCGCTCGACCTCGCCACGCTCACCGCCAACTCCGAAGTCTGACCGAGGCTGCCGGTGCCGGAAGAACTCTGAATTTTTATGCCATGGATGGAGCATGCCATTCAGCCTGACCAAATCTGAATGCAAGTGAAAATTGTATGAGGAAGGCGAAGATTTCGCCTACGTCTTTGGCAATGTATAGTGAGCACTTGATTGTCCTTTTGGATTGTATCCTGTCGAAAAATCGCTCCGCACAAATGCTTGTTAAATTTCCTTGTAGAATTAGTACTAGCTTTGCTTGTTTTCTTTTTAGTGTAACTTTGCTTGTTTAACCACGGTGCAGAAATCACAATTCATGGTATTGTCCAGCTTGTCACATACGTGTGACCTAATGTGCAGAAATCACATGTTGAAAGCTTTTTTGAGCTTGACACATGACATGCCATCTTTCCTAATGTCAGAAACTAAGAGCATCTCCAACAGCCGGCTAAGCGCCGCGCGCAAAAAAACAGTTTGCCGCGCGCGCTTCGGCCTGTTTAGCGCGGCCGTCAGTGCTGGCTCCAGCAGCCGCGCTATACTGCAGCGCGCGCGCCGCTCCAGCAGCGCGCGCGCCGCTCCAGCAGCGCGCAAAAATACAGCGTGTGCGACTCGCCGGCAGCGCGCGTGACTCGCCGGACATGTATGATATTTTGGACACAAAATGAGTTTGAAACATTCATCAAAATACAATGAACATAAGAAATTTGACACAAACAAGTTGATGAATAAAAGTTCATGCCCACAAGTTCAAAATCATGCCCACAAGTTTATCCAACCAAGTTCAAATGCAAACTAAAAATTCAAGACATAATAAATGAAAGACATATCAATCATCTTCCTCGTCTTCGTCCTCATCTTCCGAAGACGATTCTTCCGCCTCCGAAGATGAATCTTCCTCCCTACCCTCATCACGCATCGCATCACGTGAAGCTCCGACGGTGTTGGCAAGATCTTCAACGGCATCTTCATGGAAATGTGTGTGAGGAGGCACATCGAAAGACATTTCACCCATGGCCGGAGGTGCACCCATGCCTCCCATAAGAGAAGCAAAACTCATGCCTCCCATGGCGGTCATAGCGTCAGAGGGTGCTCCAAAGCCACCCATGCCTCCCATGGCGGCCGGAGGTGTACCCATGCCTCCCATGGCTCCCAAGCCATCCATGCCTCTCATGGCGCCAAGGCCACCGCCACCCATGCCGCCAAGGCCACCGCTACCCATGCCGCCAAGGCCACCGCCACCCATTGTGCGGATCATGGCTCTTTTTTGGATCAAGACTTCTTCACGGGCAAGGTTGACATATTCCTTTTGCGCACCATTGAACAAAGATGTGTCCAAGAAGAACAAGTGCTTCTCCCATTCCAACAACCTAGATCGCTCCTCCATGCCCACCTTCCTCTCTTCCAATGCCACTTTCCTCTCCTCGGCGGCCACCCTCCTCTCCTCGGCCGCGGCATCTTGGTTCCTTGCCATTTTCCTCATCTCCTTGGCTTCTTTTCTTGCCTTCACAATAGCTTCCATAGCATTTTTGAGCTCATCATCTCCTTTCCTCTTCTTTTTTTCGGTTTTGTCTTTCTTGCACACATCTGGTCGTTTTGGCTTCGAGTATGAAACCGAGTTGGGTGTGGGGCTTCTCTTGCCGTCATCACTTGATGCATCATCCTCCTCATCATCATCATCCAACTCAATTCTACGCTTGCGTTTGTTGCTCAAATGCAAATCATCCAAACCATCACGCTTCTTCCATTTCTCATCATCCTTTAACACTTCATAGCAATGAGGCAAGGTAAAGACCCTTCCTTTCTTGATCTTCCCCTTCTTGGTTGTCCTCGTCTCTTCTTTGAACAAGTTTTGTGCAATGTTGAACTACAAGAAAAACAGAACAAGTTAGCAGTTCGGACACCAAAAACAAGTATGAGATGAACATATATGAGATGTCACTTACTCTATCATCCTCATTTGTGCCACTTGGGTTAATCTTGTCAACTGCCTTTTATGCGGCCGCCCACTTTTGACAATCCGAGTTGATTGTGAACCATCGGGACCGAAGTGATCTCTCGGAGCGGTCAATTCCATTCACGTTGTGATCATCAAAGTATTTTTTTTCATTCGCCCCCAATACGCATCTCTACTTTGATCACCTCCAATGGATGGATCCCTCGACACTTGCAAATAAGTATTGCATAGTAACTTGTCATCGTTGGTGCTGTAATTGCCCGCTCTTCCTTTCGGCGCGTCGACAATGCCCTCACCCTCCTCGTCCACCTTAAACTCATGGTCTTCCAAATGGATGTCATTGGTTTGAGACCAATGCGAATTGTTGGACCCAACACCCATAGTTGACATGTATGCATCATCGTTGAGACTACAAAGTTTTTTGAACAATGCAAATAAGCTATCTATATGTGATGATGCATTGAAAAAATAACAAGAAAATAAAAGTTGAAATTTTTTTCACCTTGGGGGCATTTCGTCGAACACGTGGTGCGCGTCGGCGGCCGGCTCAACGAGTGAGCTCGCCGGCGCTTCAGTAGCCGCCGCGGCCGTCGAACGCCCTGCAAGCTTCTTTTCCCTCGCCTTCGTGCTGCCGGAGCCGTCCGCCGCCTTGTTCTTCTTCGCTGAAGTTTTGCCCTTCTTCGGCCGCGCCGCATTGGGGAGCTTCGACGGTGCGGCGGCGGCATGGGACGGCGCCGGCGCGACACCACCCGTCGCCGTGGTCATCTGCGGCGGCAAGAAGAGGTTGCGTGCGAGGCCGACGCTCGGCGGAGCTCCGGCGGTGGCGACGCCAACGCTCCCCGTGCTAGGGTTTCCGGCGACGGCGGGGGGGAGGGGGGTCGCGGCTGTAAAGCGGTGTGAGTGGGGTGCCGGTGTGCGCGTCCATGGCTGGCAAGGCGCCAGCGCAGGCGCGCGCGGGGCGTAGGAGGAGGAGAGGAGAGAGTGCGGCACGAGCGCTCGAGTGTGCCGCGCGCGGAAGCCGGCGCCCGAAATACACCGCGCGGGATAGTGCTTCTGACCGCGCGCCCAACTCGTTATAGGGCGCGCGCCGTTTTTGCGCGCCCGCTGGAGCGACCCGCCGCGTTGCGCGCGCGCTAAAACGGCCTAATTTGCGGCACGGCGCTAGTTTAGCGCGGCTGTTGGAGATGCTCTAAAGATTGCACATATTATCATCACAGAAACTAAAAGCTCATCTGACAAGAGCTATTGAGAATTTCAGATGCAGTTATTCGACTAACTAACGTGATGTTAAGCGTATCTTACGGAGTTTAATTGTGCGCATCAACGACAACGCACGCACGCTCGAGAGATCAAGCCAATAAATGGGATGATTGCTTCAGATATATTCCAAAAACTGTCATGAACCAACCAGCTAGATAGATCATCATGATTTATATGTACGTACCGGCCTGCCGATCTTCCAAAATCCAGTCCAGTGGGATGGCGATCTACCTGTTAAGCCGCTGCTTAAGCTAAGCCTAAGCCAACTGTAAACCACCCCAACAAGTGGCTGCAAAACATTGACCAAAACCTAGTTTAATCCACGCCTGGTGTCTCTCGCCCTCTGCAGCTGAAGCATGCGGGGTGCTAATCTATTCTGGAACCACATGAGGCGGAATCAAGAGAATCATGGTGGCATTAATGCGAGCCACCCCCACGATTAGCGGCGCTAAGCATGTGCCGCAACTGTATGTCTGTCAGGGGGGAGGAGATGAGTGGGTGGAGCTGGCCAACGGTTATGTCCACCTGGCTTTGCCCTATTATTATCACAAGTTTTTACTAATTGAGACGCTCGATTATTTGGGGAGTGGCATGCGTGCGCATCAGATATCTCAAACTTATGATGATAATGAAAATGGATGTGGTTGTTATCTCTATATCCGGAATTGAGATCATGAAATCGGAGATAGGATCATGTGCCTACGGTATGTCTTCTCTGTAGACAGATGGCCCAACAAAAAGAGATGAGACGAATGATGTATTTCATTTTAGGATGATATATGCCGGATTTTAGATGGGCGGAGACCCCCCCTTCACCTTTCCTTTTTAACATAACTGCCAACTGCTTGCAGCAAATGATTCAGTTAGCCCGGCCATGTGGTCAGATTGTGGGCCTGATACCCCACCAACAAGGATTCCAGTTGTCATTTTGCAATATGTTGATGATATTATCCTGTTCATGTTCATACAGGATGATCTGGATAGTGCTAGGAACCTCAAATTGTTGTTGTACTTCTTTGACCAGATGTCAGGTTCGAAAATCAATTTTCAAGAACAATGGAGTCCTTGATGGTGTGATGATAAAAGGCATAGTTATGATGACCAATTTAAGTGCAAACTAGGGGCCTGGCCTATCAAAAATATCTAGGGGTGTTCCTGCTTGTGGGAGTAGACTACATGTATACCTGGCCATACCTCGGGCCGGGCCTAGCCAAGCCCGACGCAAAAAACCCAGGCCCGAGCCCGGCCTGGCACGGCCATCAAGCTTGTTTTCTGTTCCTGAGCCCGGCCCGAAGACGTAAAAGCCCGTCGGGCTTCGGGCCGGCCCGGCCCGACCTTTAGAAAAACGCAAAAAAGACGGGGCCAGGCCTGGCCTTCGGGCTCAAAATCTAGGCCCGAGCCCGGCCCGGGGACAACGCCGGACCGGGCCGGGCTTCCCATGGCCAGGTATAACTACATGTTGCTGAAGAGAACGGAGGGCTGGTAAGCTGGAAACATGTCCCTTGGTGCCAAGGTGATTCCCTAAGACAAATATAGGGAGGATGGAAAATTCTAGTGGATGCCACTGGGTATTTGTAGGCAAAAGAAGAAAGGAGGGCTGGGTATCTACGCCATGCTAGGTTGATTTGATGAAACTCAAACATATATCTATGGTACAACTGCTGGTGTGGAGAAACCTCTTTTGATCAATTCCCTGGGCTTTTTGAAATTATGAATAGAAAATTTTGGACTGATGACCCTAACTGCTGCTCTATGCTGAAAATGATAGTTTTGCCCGACTCATCCAAAGATCATGAAGCGGAGCTACTGT